CTCCTCAGCCGCCAGCCGAGTTCGCGGCCCTCGTTTTCACTAACTGTAAGGAAATACGATTTCACATATTCTATTATTTTTCTTTTCTGAGAAGGGAAATGAGAGATGCAACTGGCCGTAACTACATCAGCGAGGAAAACGCTCAAAAAAACCAGCGCTTGGTTCAGTGGTTTATTGTCTCTAGCGCACAGCAATACAGTAACAGCTACAGCGATCACATATGCACCAAAAAAAAGTATTTTAAATAAAAACACATTTCATGAAAACAGCTGTTTGTTTCTCGCTTGTGGCAAAGAGAATGACCCAGTTTTTCCACAGAAATTTTAATTACACCGGTCTCTCCGTTCAGGCAGCAGGAGAGCCCCTGGGAGCTCCGTTGTAGCCTTGGCTGTATTTTATTTTATTGTATTATTTTATATAAACGCAGGTTTGGCCTCGCTCCGAGGGCCCTGCCCCAAAGGAGCAGAGGGAGGGCAGGGGGCAGGTGAGGGCTCCCACACCTTTGTTGTGACCCCCCCTGCACACAGTACCTACGCACGACACCTCTTCTGTACAAATACAGGACAAAACCATTAGAAGAACATGTTGCAAAAGAAAAACCAACTTTGACTCCAGCATTGTTTGCCTATTCCGTTTGCCCACATCTAGCACAGGCACTAAATAAGGCAGCTGTAACAGCACGTAAAATTAAGGCCTGTACCATAGTTAAGGTACGGACGGCTACACAAAACAGAGACACTTCCATTTATCAGCTGGAACAGCTAGGAACGTTACAATCTGCTGCAGAAAAATATATGCATAAAACCAAAGGGCTGCTTGGAGGCTCTGCCCCATCACTTTGCCAACCCATGAGAACGCGCGTACTTTGCAACAGATGCAGATTCTACTTCATAAGGCTGACAAAGAAAAAAAAAAAAAAAAAAAACAACCAACTTTTGTCATCTTGCAGGTACAAGCCTACAGCAGGTTTCAGTCTAGTCTCCTCAATTACTAGTTTGGACAGCTGTCCGTCACGGACATCTCCCCATCAAAGATTAAAGAGCACGGAACGGGCGGGATATGCTTCTGTCTAGCTTATCCAGCCATTTCTGCCCACGTGCTCTAAAGGCAGTTTGGTTTTTATGTTCTTTCTTACATTAGCAATGTGTTTTGATATACAGATATTTTAACATCAGTCGATTACATCAAAAGCCAGCCAAGAACCCACTGGAAACACTGACTGAAATTTGTAGATTTACCTCCATCACTTAGTCATTGATCTTAAAATCTCTTGGGCAACACGAGGCTACGCGGCCTGCTTCCTATGGCACATCCAGCCCACGGCCAAGAGAAGCCCAGCTGAGCTAGCGGCTGTTAAGGTAACAGAAACCACTAGTAAAAAATCCAGAGTGAACTAAGCTCATCCAAGTCTGAAATCCCTCACGACCAAAGAGATGGAGGATGCAGGGCAGAAGGCACAAGACCCATGGGCTAAAGCACACTGAATTTACAGTGGTTTACCAGACCCCTGGCAAACACAGCGCCCAAGCCCTACCAAACCCGGTCGGATGCAGCGAGGCTGCAGCTCAGACGCTGCATTTCAGCGGAACAGAGCCGAAGACGAAGATCAGCAGGTGGGTTTTAGGTGGAGTTTAGCTACAACAAAGTCAAGAAATGAGCATAGCACAGGTAAGGGCAGAAGTAGCATAAGAGTTTAGACTGAAAAAACAGAAGTTGCTTTCTCTTCATCGAGTTCAAATAAGCCAACAGTGCAAGAGCACAGAAGATACAGAAGCAATGGGTTAGCTAGATATGCATTTTTCATCATACTCACAGACACTACTAATTCAAGCTTGGGAACACTAGACTATGACTGCTATATGAAAAGAGTAAAAAGAGCACAGGATGGGTGGTCACGGAGACGCTATAAAAACGCAGGAGACTCCTCCCGTACCGTGGCATGACTCCTCTGCTCAGAAGCATGCTTCTAACAAAAGCCCAGATACTTAATCAAGCAATAGCATAGAATAAAAGACACACAAAATGTAAAGCGCTTGATGAAGGGAGGGAGTGCACCTGTATTTTGGCAGCGTTCTTGTTAGAGATTAAAGCCCAGCACCAGAATAGTTTCAAGTGATGGAAAGTTAAGTTGGGGGGGGATGATTTGGGGGGGGGGGAAGGAGTGCTTCCAAAAGAGAACCCCGTTCTTCTCTCCAAACAGCTGCTCACCAGGCCAAGCGGTACACAGGTTCGTGCATGCCCACGTCTGGGGGAGCTGGTGAGAGCCCGCCACAGCTTAGTGCTCCCCTCAGGAAGCGTCAGCAGAGCTGACGCAAGTTTGCCTTTCTCTGCCCCCTGACTTCAAAGGAGGCAAAGGACAGGATTTCAGCACTGTGGGCCGAAGATTAAATCTCAGCCTTGTTAACCTGAGGAAAGACTGAAGGAGGAAGAAAAGCCAGAACCTCCTGCGATCCCCATTTCTTAACTAGTAAAAAAAAAACCCCAAACCTCTCAGTTCACGCCAAACATCCATTTCTGAGGCGAGAGAGTAGTTTTGGCTTTCATTGTATGACAAACCAACATAAGCCAGCCTGTTTTAAGCTGTCAGACACGGTATTATCAAACACTTCCTCTTTGTTCAAGCTTTTTATTCCGCTGATGCTTTGAAGCAGTGGTAACGTTGAATCAGAAATAAGTTCTAAAGTGTTATATTTCTGGGATTTTTAAAGCTAGCTAGTTAAGCTAGCACAATTCTGTTACTTAGACAACTTTTTATGTAATGAATAACGTTCACCTTTCCTGAAAATGCAGAATTTATTTATTTTGCTATTGTGTTTTTCATCCTTCTCCTTCCTACAGTTACTTTGAGGGTGGTTAAAATATTAAGACTGTAAGCTCAAACTACATACTTACATATACACTTAATTATCCTTAACATGCTGCTTTCCTACATATGCTGTCAAAGAAATTTTGCTATTTTGGATTTCTCGGCTTTACTTGTTGCAAAGAATATAACTGTTCTGCAAGCACAGGTTTGTGGGCAATCACACTGAACTAGAAGTAGTCAGCTCTCCCACTCAGCGCATTTCCCAAAGCAAATCAACGCTTTACTTCAGGAAGCTGTTGTAGTAAATGACTGTTCGTCTCAGCCTGTAGCACTCCTCCCCTTGATATCAAACAGACTTTAATACACCGCTGCCATTTCAGGCAGCAGAAGTGGGATATAGCACTACTTTTAAAGTCTTTTTGATGGAATTCACGTATATTAGAGCTCTGCTTTTACAATCTAATAGCTGTACTTTTGTTGGTGATTTAAGAAATCGGTGAAAAGCAACTCGCATCAGAAGGGATGAAACAGGCAAAAACATTTGGTGCAAACACTTAAAACAGGATTTCACAAGAATTTGTTTGGAGTAGAAACCAACTGGAATAAGACACAAAGAATCTACAAGCTATTGAGAGAAGAACCACCACAAAAAGGATAGAGTAGACTCATGTGCCACTCCGTGTAAACTAGGTGGATGCAGAAGAGATGAGTTTCTACCAATATAAACATATGCTACCCATTACATGTCTTCTTGTTTCACACTGCTCACTGTGCTTTGCATCCACTGATTTTGATTGTGCCAAAATAAAAACCACTGTTGTTTTATTTCTTTAAACCAACAAAACCACTGAAGTAAAAAAAAAAGTACATATAGTTACATACAGTAAATAAATTTACTTAAAAAAAAAAACAACAAAAAACAAAACCACAACACACCAAAACAACCACCCTAACCCCCCAGACAATACTCCTTTAATAGATTTGGCACT